TATTTTCCAGTTCCCCTTCCTCTCTATAGCATCTTTTAGGGGCAAAACCTAACCTGCTACTGCCTCTGAATTTCTAGTAAGAGAGAAGAACCGGTTCTAAGTGTGGAGAATTTTTACATCCAAATCCACATCTCTGTGGGTCAGTCCAGTGATTCAAGTTTGATTTGCAGAAGCTGCACAAAATATCTTTTTATTTTCCACATGAAAGCTCTTCAAATATTTGAAGACATTCATCACGTGCCTCTGATTCTGATTTTTCCTAGGCTTAAAACATGCTTAAACATCCCCAATTCTTTTAAATCTTCTTTGCATGAACTTGTCAACTAGAATTGCTAAGTCTTTTTTTTTTTTTTTTTAAGTCTGTGAGTTGCTCTTAAGTCAAATCTTCCACATCCTCATATGGTTGATTATTTTGAATCTATATAGAGCTGTCATCTGGAAAACGATAAAATATGGGTAGGAATATATTTTGAAAAGTTTAAAGCAGTTCACCCATGCAAATAATTGTGTCTCTATCATTATCTGGGTCTTCAGTTTTTGCCTAAACCTTTTGCCAAGTTAGTCCCAACACCTTAATATGATGGGGTAGATAAAGACTTCTTGGATTTCCTTCCTCCTTTAGTATATACTCAAGTAGTAAATTTGTTGATTGTTATCATTACTTTGTCCTTCATGTTCCTTCAACCCGTTGCTAACATGAAATGAAGTAGAACTTTTTGAGAGCTATCTGTGTTCTAAGTACATTATCTGCATTACCTTAATCATTGGATAAAGTAGATGTTAATTTGCACATTTTGTATAAAGAAACCAAGTCTAAGTGGTTAAACCAGTTAGCCAAGTACCCCTAACAAATTATTGGCAGATTGTCTTCCTACCTCCCAGTTTTCTATTTATACGACCACTTTGTGCTAACTCTTTGTTCTATTTCATACTTATTTTATGTAGATTTGCAATGTATTTGCTGGTGGTCTTTTTTTTCAATAAAATAGTGAGATCACTGAGGGCAGGGATTATGTAGTATAACGTTTTGTATTTTCCTTAGTACCAAGTAGAGAGCTTTGGTTTCTAATACTACAAATAACACACTCTCTTAAGGTCTCTTAAGGCCATATGCCAGATGGCTAGCAAGAATTTTGTTTAAGTTCATAGTTTTTTTCGTAAGTCAGCACACATTGGATAGAACATTATCCAAGATTTGAATGTATATGTGTGTGTAAGTCTGTGCAAGTGTTTGTATATGTATACGAGTGGTTTACAAAAACTTTAGAATAAATGTTTTAAGGAATTTTGATAAAACTGGCTGTACTCAGAGCCTTTGCTCCTTATTAAACTCAACTACACAAGTGACATTAAATAAAACAAACACATGAAGTAGAAGAAGGGCAAATTAGTCCTAACGGGGATAGTTTGAAATTACTGACTACGAAATTGTGGCAGTGTTTTGAGAAAACTTGTACTAAACATTATCAACTTTTCCAAAATTGGGTTTATACCTTCTGAACTTAGAACTAAGTGGCCATTTTTAACATGTTTTTAAACAACAGCAAAAAAAATTAAGGCAGAGTTATTTGTGTTGGGCAGGCTTTTAGGCAGTTTCAACAAATTAGGCTTTGACATTTTGGTAAATGTTAAAGTATCTAATGGCACTTTAATAGGAATTAGGATTTTTCTTGCCCCTATTTTACTGTCCAAAAATTTGGAGACTTGGCAGAAAACCTTGGGAAAACTAAAATTCTACTTCTCTCAATATGGTATTACTCATCCCAATTTAAAGTAAACAATAGAAAGGAAGATTTAAAGATGAGCTCTGGATACAATTCTTTGCATATAAATAATACTGTTTTTTTTAAAAAAAAAATTACCAAGAGTAGGGTAGAATTAATTAGTTAATTAATTAAAATTAAATTTTATGAGAGTCCATAGTCTCTCATGATTCGTCTCCCCCTCCGATTTACCCCACTTCATTTTTCTCTTCCTGCTATAGTCTTCTTCTTTTTTTTTTTTAATTTTATTTATTTATTTGAGACAGAGAGAATGAGAGAGACAGAGAGCACATGAGAGGGGGGAGGGTCAGAGGGAGAAGCAGACTCCCCGCTGAGCAGGGAGCCCGATGCGGGACTCGATCCCGGGACTCCAGGACCATGACCTGAGCCGAAGGCAGTCGCTTAACCAACTGAGCCACTCAGGAGCCCCAGTCTTCTTCTTTTTTTTAAACATATAATGTATTATTTATTTCAGAGGTACAGATCTGTGATTCAATGGGTATTAAAGAGGGCACGTACTGAATGAAGCACTGGGTGTTATACGCAAACAATGAATCATGGAACACTACATCAAAAACTAATGATGCAATGTATGGTGATTAACATAAAATAATAAAATTTTAAAAATAAATAAATTTTAAAAATGCAACATTAAAAAATTAATTTTTATGAGATGCAGATTAACTTCCAATGTGTCATGTTAATTATTGCTTCAAAACACCTGGACATAGGAATTGTAGTATTTTGAAGAAAACAGAGAAAGGCTTTTGGATTATGGCTTGTAAAAGGATTTTTTTCTCCTATGCTAAAAACTGTCGTGTGGTATCTGATAAAAGTCCCCTGATTAAAGTGTATGCCGGAAACACAGATGTGGCGTGTTTCCTTACTTCTCCTTTTCTTTGCCTTGTTCTGATTAAAACCTATGGTTATAGTGTTGGGGCACAAAACCTTAGAATATTTATTTGAGTTGAGAGAGTGATTCTGCTGGTATGTTTTTTTTGGGGTGTAGTGGACAGCTCTCTGGGTGACTGGCAGATTTGTTGATTTCCTGGTTGCAATAGGGCTGAAGCCTACTCCCATATCTTTTCAAATCCTCTGTATTCATGCCTTCTGTCTACATAAATGCTACTCACATCCCTTTGGATAATCCACCTAATCTTGTTCTTTTTGCCTCTGTAGAGTGAGGGTTCTATATATGCCCCAGGGTCTTTCTTCCTTTAATTCATCAAAATTTATTCACCATTTGCCCAGCTTCCTCTGGGTTGTGACAAATGGTTGGTTTACTAATCTGCAGTGAATCAACCCAAGCTAAAACGCTCAATATATATAAAATAAATATATATGTTAATCCCTTAATGTGTTGCTTATTCTTTTAGGATAGGCACTTAATGTATTGCCTATTCCATTAGGAATTTTAAGGAGCTGCCAATATGTGAATGTCTTAATCCAAGGAAATATTCTTTTGTAATTAACATTTGGAAACGATGGTAGGCTGATAGAGGAAGATATTTTTTGGGTCCCTAGATACAATTGAGTACCTTCTTTAATTTTCATGATAGAATCTTAACTTGATTACTTATATGATTATCAAAGTTACAGATCTCCCTTTTACTGGCAACACAAGAGTTGTACACACTGTCATTAGGTATTATAAAAAAAGTACTTGCCAAAAAAATTTTTTTTGAACAATTGCTTGAAGGAAATACAATTATTTATTCCTCTGGAGTCACTGTATTACTCTGGAATAACACCAGGATCTCAGAGATTTAAGTGCATCAGTCATATTGCTTTGAGAGTTCACAGACTTATACTTCGCTATATTCACTGAGATAACTCTTCAGTTAAAAAAAGAAATTAAAGCTTATGTGATGTGGCCAAAGCATATTCAGAGGAAAATTAATGGCCTCAAATAAAGAATCATATTATATTACTTGAAGATTCAACAAAAAAATTACAAAGAACAATGAAAAACAAATAAAACAATAAAAGCAGAAAAGCCAAAAGAAGCAATTCCTAATAAGTGCAGAAATAAATAAATAAATAAAACCCATAATATTGACAAGTTAAAAAAAAAGCTTATTCTCAAAAAAACTGCAAGGTGGACAAATATATAGATTCTCCATTCTGGAGGGACAGGAGAAGTCAGAAATACACTACTTTAATAGTGGTAATGGAACTGTAACCAAGAAAGATATGTTTTAAATTGAGAGATCATACAACTCTGCGCTAATAAACCTTATAATTAAATATGTCTCAAATATCACAGTAGACATACTAAAAACATTATTTGCTATTTATCTGAAATTTGCCTCAGATCCTTTGTGAAATAATATTGGAGAATGAATGAATGAATATATGAATGAAAAAATGCCCTGGGTAGAAGAGAACTTTTGAGATGTCTTTTTGCTCTCTGTGAAAGGACTCAGAATTTCTCCTCGGTAATGGCTTCTAATAGAGTTATCGTCAAGAATTTGAAGACTGGCCTCATAAATACCAACCAGTCACCCTTGCTTCTTCTCTCTCCATGCTGCTTCTTTTCCTCCCTCCTTCTTTTCATCCTTTCCTACATTTTTCCCCTTTTCATCTCTCTCTCTTTTTCTTACAGTTTTTCTTTCATTGATTTCCTCATGAAAAAGAAAACCTTGGACTTGTTTTTAGATTCACACATGAGAGAAAAAAAAAGTTATAAGAAAAGATGAAAGGATTATGGATTTTTCAGCCCAGTGAAATAGAAGCAGAATAGTGATTCCATATTAGCACAAAGTGTTTTTTCACGTTCTTTTTGATTACCAGAAGAAAGGTCCCATATATCATCTTTACTTTGTAGGCAAAAGAAGGCAACAGTAGAACTTTTAACTTTATGTGAAAAATACTGGAGGAGCACATTACTGTCAAGGAAATTGTGATTGTCTGATGACAATGGTCATTTTAGGTAAACTTTTGGAATTTATCCATTTGGAAAACTCCCTGGGCAACGTATGCCTTACAAAGAGTCACTGAGGACTTTCTGAACTTCTTTTCCTACATATTTCATATCATTCTCCCCATTTGCAGCATCATCTGAGAAAATTTTCTTTTATCAGTTTATATTTCAGAGTGAAATATATGGTGCCGTAGGGAATGAATTACTTCCTGACATTACTAATCCATGTTGGTTGGCTTGCTTGCCTGTCCTGGATGACTACATACACTTCATTTTCAGGCTTCTGAAAATCTTCCTCTGCTCTCTATTTCCAGGACTGCTGCTGCATCCCATGTGAAAAGCAGAGGATAAAATGAAGATTTCTCAGTGCAACATGCAAAACTGGCCGTTTCCAGCTCTGCTGGTCATTTCTTATTTTTGCGCCATTGTCCAGGGTCAAGGTAATGCAAAACTTTAAGATAATCATTAGGGCCTGGGACTCTAGCTACATTGGTTCTGGTTATTATTTATTTTATTTACCCTAATAGTGTTGCACGGGTTCTACTGTGTTTCTAGGCAGGGTCATATGTTGGCTTTTACTCAGTTTTACCAGCTGTTTACCTTGTAGAAATGTGCCACAACTTTGATGAGGGTTAAGACCTCACCAGGAACTGAGCATAGTAATTTTGTGGTGGTTTGTTAAACAGCTCATTCTTCACATGCTTCTGAAGAGGCTGTGCAGTTTTAATTAGGAAAGGCCAAATTTGCATGCTACAAAATCAGTTCCATTAATGAGGAGCTATGATGGGTGTGTGTATGTACTCCAGTCATGCCTTGTCTCTTAAATAGAGGGTCTACAAAATATTTCTACCACTTCATACCTGGTCTTTATTATTTTGTTCCTTTCTTAAAAACTAGCACATAGTGTAAAGTTACCAAAAGCCTGGCAGAGGCTGCTGATATGCCATTTTAAGCATTTCCAAAGATGTCTAGCTTTGTTTGTTTTTTCACTGAACTTAGTTTTTGAATTCTATCTGTATTACTGGGATCTGCATTTTTATTCTCCATTTCCACTCGTTTTTATAAAATATGTTAGGAGTTGGTAAGCTACCAACTCATGGGCCAAATCTGACCCACTGTTTGTTTTGTCATCAAAGTTTTATTGGATGCAAATATTTGTTTACCTGTGTCTGTGCCAACTTTCACATTGTGAAGTCGAGTAGTTGTGAAAGAGACCGTATAGCCCACAGAGCCTGAAATATTTATTATCTGGCCTTTTGCAGAAAAAGCGTGCTAACCTCCGAAGTAAGTGCACAACATGTATAAGTAAGCAAAACTCCATTACTAGGTAAACATGATAATCTTGCAGAAGCAGAAATGTCGGTGCTGAAATAGTCATTCATCAGCTTAGCAAGGAAATCTACATGTGATAAAGAAAGTTATTTTAGGAGTGTTAATGTCTAAGGCTTGGAATTTATGGTTATAGAAAAGTCAAATGTTAAGAACCACCACACCCTGCTTCCTTAAAGTGAGGCATGCTTGTTTGGAAAGGCATGGAACTTGACCCTTTGCACGTTCAAATAGTGTTAAAGCCATATTTCCAACTGCTTCATGCAACACATAGGAACCAGTTGGACAGACAAATTCTGCTTCCCCTACTTACATTAATACAAGGACGCTTTTGGAAGTGAGACTAGAAATCCCAGATAATTTACCATCTAAATTGTGGGATACAAGACGTAAGGCCTTTGGAACAAAAGGCAGCCAAATCACAAAGCCCTTCAGAGCTGCCGTCTTAGTCTAACTTAATTCAGAAATGGTCATTTGTGGAGTAACTGATCATACAGAGAGTCCTTCTGGGATACTTTTGGGGATGCCATTGACCAGATACACATTATTGGCCAAATTCCATTTTTAATGAACATTTATGGGGCACATACTGTGTGTCAGGTTCAGGATACAAAGTGAGTAGAACTTCACTCTGTCTTCCAGCAGCTTACTGTTACTCAGGAGACAGAGGTATAGGCAGATAAATTGCCATGCAAGTTTTGGTGGGGTGTGGGGGGGGGTTGTGTAGCAAAAGACAAAGATGGAAAAGCATACTGGAGCCAGACTGTGGAGGATTTTAAACAGCTCCATTTTTTAGAGAGACTCTGATAGCAATATCGATGATACTCGTATTTGTGATTTATAGGGGCTTGGGGAATAAGTTAAGTAAGAGAGATCATTAGAAAATTATATTTACTATCTGGGAAGTAGCTGTTGGGGGCCTGAACTGGGCAGGAGAATAGAAAGAAGAGAATGAATCCAAGAAACATTTCAGAGGTAGAAGGGATAGAAGTTGTTTTCTGATTAGACGTGGAGGGAGTTGTGAAAGGAAAATGTCGAAGATGACTCTAAGGCTTTTTGCTGGAGAACTGAGTAGATGGGGCCTTTAATTTCGACCCCTATGTTATTGTTGCTTTTGTATCTTTGTGTCATAGTTGTTTGTTTACCTACGCTCATTAAAACAGTAGTTCTCTCCTTAGTGTCTGTATCTCTGATACAGAACAATGGCTCAGTCATAGTATACGTTTGTTGAAGAGATTAATAAAAGAATAAGCAGGGCACCCAGGTGGCTTAGTCAGTTAAGCATCTGACTCTTGATTTCGGCTCAGGTGTTGATCTCAGGGTCGTGAGATCGAGCCCTGTGTCGGGCTCCATGGTTAGTGGGGAGTCTCCTTGAGATTCTCTCCCTCTCTCTCCGCCCCTCCCCCTGCTTGTGCACACACACTCTCTCTCTCAAATAAATAAATCTTTAAAGAAACAAAAGAATAAGCAATGAAGCAATTTTAAGCTGAAGATGATGAGGTCAGTCTTAGATACATATATGGAGGTTTAAAGGGCTTGTGGAACATTCAGGACAAGATGTCTGGTGGGTAGTGGATGGTCTGGAGCTTAGGTGAAAGAGATGAGGGCAGGGAATATATCTGAATTGTTTTGTGCTTGGAGGTTAGCTGATAGGGACCCATGAACCAAAAAGGCATGGCCTGATGGAGAGAAGTGAGGATGAAATATGGAGGACATCAACAGTTAAGAAGTTAAAGGAAGAAAAAGGATGATTGAAATTTTCAAAAAAGCAATTGTAAAGAGGGTCAGGGGAATGTAGTGCCCTAGAAGAGAAGGCTGCAGAAACTTTCAAGAAGGAAGATAGTGGGCACATGCGGGAGGAAATCCTAGTAAGAAAAGGCTTTGGATGTCATTGACTTTGGCTTTTAGGAAAGTATGTAAGACGTTTGAGAAACTGAATCTTAGTTCTATCTAACATGACACCATTTATTTACATGATTGTTTTGAGTAGAGAATAAAGAATGTGAAATGCTTTATTTGATTTATTTTCTCCTTTTTTTTTTAAGATTTTTAAAATTTAAGTAGTCTCTATACCCAACATACAACTTACAACTCCGAGGTCAAGAGTCGCATGCTCTACCAACTTAGCCAGCCAAGCACCCGATTGATTTTCTACTTTCAATTTTTTTTCAAGTTTATTTTTAAGTAATCTCTATACCCAACGTGGGGCTCAAACTCACGACCCCAAGATCAAGAGTCGCAAGCTCTTCTGACTGAGCCAGTCAGGTGCCCTTGATTTTCTACTTTTAAAGCAGACATAGTAGCGAGTTCCTGTGGGTTGACCAATTTTGACACTAATCTGCAAAGCCACATGTGAATGTGTTTGACATTCAATACAGTACTTTGCTAAAGGCAGGTGTGTTGACTTGCTAGTCGACACTAATTACTCTTAAACTTTATGTTCTTATAGGCATTTTGGAGACACATTTATTCACAAAATGAAAAGAAAAGGTCAGTGTGGTAGGCAGAATAATGTGTTCACAAAGATGCACACATCCTAATTTCTAGAACCTGTAAATATGCCATATTATATGGCAAAGGGGAATTTAAGATTGCTGATGGGATGAAAGTTGTTAATCAGCTGACTTTAAGATAGGGAGATTACCCTGGATTACCTAGGTGGGTCCACTTTGGACCCAATCACGGGGGTCATAAATATGGAAGAGGGAGGCAGAGGAAACAATGTCAGAGTGAAGTCATGTCAGAAAGACTTTGCTGGCTATTGATGGCTTTGAAGATGGAAAGGGGACTCAAGTCAAGGAATGCAGGAATCCTCTAGAAGCTGGAAAAGACAAGAAAATGGATGGTCTCTGAGTGCCTCCAGAAGGGAATGCAACCCTACCTACACCTTGATTTTAGCCCAGGGAGACCCATTTCAGGCTTCTGACCCCCAGAACTGTAAGATAATACATTTCTGTTGTTGTAAGCCACTGTATTAAGTCAGTATTAAAAGGCATATAGGAAATTAACTTTCCCCCTCTTAAATTGCTTAATCAACAGAATGTGCACCTTAGTGTCTTCAAGTAATTCTTTCTGAAGAACTTTCTGTCTCCAGAGAATGTGAATGCATATTGGCTCAAAAATAGCTGTTTATACCTAGATTATTCAGCATCTTCTTTTCAAGACAAGTTGTGAAATGAACTGGAACACAGAAAACATATTGTTGTGTTGGCTGTAAGGAAAAAAAATATGTATTACATGACAGAATGGTGGGACTAATACTTTCCCAGTATTTCATAGTAAATCTGTACTGGGTTTCAGCAATATTTGTTTTGGAAGGTTATAAGCAGAAACCACTGAAGGTAAAGTAACTGTCATTTAAAAACCTCAAAGCATATAAAATTGGAGACTTCACATCAGGGCTTGATTTAACTTTAGAAAGATCTCTGTGTTAAGAAATTTACACATATTTTTTTGGTGTTAGTAAGTAGTCAAACATGTTTGGACAGTTGAGAATATTTCTTTACTGCTCTTTTCAGCAGTAAAGAAATGAAATTATGAAATTAATGAAATATTTGGGGGTCCCTTTGTGCTTGCAAAAAGAAAAATCATGGGTCATGAAATGAAACATAGTAGGTTCTAAGCAAGATAAAAAGAACTCCCCCCAGTATATCCCACAGTAAATTTCTCTCGTATTTTAAGTTCTCCTATTTATAGAACATTGGGCAACACACTTATTTATTTTTTTAAAGATTCATTTATTTATTTGTGAGAAAGCAAGAGAGGGGAGGGCCAGAGGGAGAGAAATCCTCAAGCTGACTCCCCGCTGAGCGCAGAGCACAACCCAGGGCTCAGTCCCAGGACCCTGAGATCATGACCTGAGCCAAAATCAGGAGTTGACCCTTAACCAACCGAGCCACCCAGGCACCCCAGGGCAGTGCATTTAATTGAAAAATGACTGAGATAAAAAGCCTAGATTTTTGTTGTTTGTTTGGGTGTTTTTAGATCCCTTGGAAAAATAAGCCAAATACTTCTCTGCTGCTTAAAGGTCATTTACTTAATAAATATAAGAGATTGTTCTTTTTTTTTTTTTTTTAAAGATTTTATTTATTTATTTTTTAGAGAGCGAGCGAGAGAGAAACAGCATGAGAGGGGAGAGGGTCAGAGGGAGAAGCGGGCTCCCCGCTGAGCTGGGAGACCGATGTGGGACTCGATCCCAGGACCCTGGGATCATGACCTGAGCCGAAGGCAGACGCTTAACCATCTGAGCCACCCAGGCGCCCGATATAAGAGGTTGTTCTATTGATACTGCACCCAGAACTATGTTTTGAAAGGGAACACGTTCTTACTGCCCATACTACTCCATCTTGATCAGTTAGAGGTTTTTGGTTGCAAATAAAAGAAACCTTCTCTGGCCAATGCCAATTGAAGCAAAAAAAAAAAAAAAATGTATTTACTGGTAGGTAACAAAGTAGCTCATATTGTTAAAGTTAAAGTTAAATAATTAAGCTTTGAAAAGGATGGGACTCTAGGAACACCCTGAGTAAAATTTCTAGGAAACAGTGACCACTTTTTTTTAGGGCACGTTATTGCAATGAAATGATGAGCTATTTTCCTTCCTTCCATTGCTGGACACAAATTTCAGATTCTTGGCAGAGTCTGCCCGACCCTGTTTGAGTCATTTTCTTACCCCTTAGTCAGGGGAGTATGGCTGATTGATAGCACAGCCAAGGCCCCATGCAGTGCAGAGGGAGCGTTGTTCCGGGGAAGAAACCAGCAGGGTACTAAAAAAGGCAGACAGGAGGTGATCATGGGTAGTGAAGAACAGATCTTCATTTCAGTGTTCCTGTATAAAAAGTAGTGTTTCATGAAATTAATGAAAATATTTTATTTGAAATAAATATTTGGGGGTCCCTAGATGGCTCAGACGATTGAGTGTCCCACTCTTGATTTCAGCTCAGGTCATGATCTCAGGATGGTGAGATCAAACCGCGAGTTGAGCTCTGCATTGGCCGTGGAGCCTGCTTAAGATTCTCTCTCTCTCTCTTCCTCTGCCTTTCCCTCTGTCCTTCCTGCCCCTCCTCCCCAACACACATGCACACCCTCTCTCAAAAAAAAAAAAAAGAAATCTTTGCATAAGTTGTCACATGTCAAAACAGCAAGATTTTAGTTGTTGAGTTGAAGTGGAAGAAAGGAAAAAAAGAAAGAGAAGGAAGGGAGGGAGGGAGGGTGGGAAGAAGAAAGGGAAGAAGGGAAGGATGGGAATTAGCCCTTTAATAGGCACTTTATGAAATAAAATTTCCCAAATGCCTATTGATAACAGCGAGGCTTCAATAAATCACGTAAACATTCATTTTCTGCCTACAAGATTTGATTTCTATGAGAATAATTGTAGTGAAATTTGGGGGTTTAAAAAAACTTCCCTCTTGGGCACCTGGGTGGCTCAGTTGGTTAAGCGACTGCCTTCGGCTCAGGTCATGATCCTGGAGTCCCTGGATCGAGTCCCGCATCGGGCTCCCTGCGCGGCGGGGAGTCTGCTTCTCCCTCTGACCCTCCCCCCTCTCATGTGCTCTCTCTCTCATTCTCTCTCTCTCAAATAAATAAAATCTTTAAAAAAAAAAAAAACTTCCCTCTCAAAAAAAACAAAAACAAAAACCCACAACACAACAAAACAAAAACAGCCCTATACTTTCAGTAACAAGCCTAACCCTGCAGTAGAGAGGAAAATAAAGAATGGACCCTCCTCATTCTTCCTCCTCCATTCCTCTTCAGGATGAAATACATATATTCACAAATGTTGTATTGGGCCCAATCCCACACAGGAAGCCTGGCTTCACCATGCAAGGAATGAGTTGGTTGGCTTACTGTGGGTTCTTGGTGTGGGCTAGAAATCAAACTTTATACTCATTTTTTGTCTTCTTAAAAAGCTTAGGATTTTAACTAACATGAATGAAATGCTGAGTCAAATTCACATCAGCATTTGTAATTATTACTGGAAGTTAAGGGTATGTATAGAAGCACCTCCTTTGTGCTTGCAAAAAGAAAAATCATGGGTCTGGCATCAAATACACCCAACTTTTCATTTCATGAGATAAGAGCAATGATTTCTGTACTGCATTTACAGCGTTTTTCTCAATCTTGGCTACCTTTGCTCTGATGTAAGCCCCAGGGTCTGTCTTCTGTACAGAGAAAAAAGGAGTTAAATTTGAAGTTTGAAACTATGACCTCATGCCTCCTTCCTTCTTAACTAGCCTTTTTTCTGTTCACTCTTTTTCTCCCAAAGGCAAAAAACTAAAGGAAATGTGAACTTTGTGTCTAACCAAGATTTTCTTTTACTGATTGTGGGAGTATTTTTGCTGATCTAGCAATAGATGTGGTCTGTTGATAAAAGAGAATGGTGGTATTGCTTTTTACTAGCAGTCATAATGGGACCATAGTCAGATGCATCATTGTTATCCTCATCACTTTCTCCTGGGGGTTCAAAAGGCTATGGTTATTAACTAATAAAATGTGGCAGGGCTATAATCTCAGACCACATTTAAAGAACAGTAGCCTGGTGGGGCACCGGGGTGGCTCAGTTAAGCGTCTGCCTTTAGCTCAGGTCATGATCCAGGGGTCCTGGGATTGAACCCTGCATTGGGCTCCCTGCTCAGAGGGGAGTCTACTTCTCCCTCCCTCTGACCACGCCCCCCCCCCCCCGCTCATTCTCTCTCTCAAATAAATAAATAAAACCTTTAAAGAATAGTAGCCTGGGTAGAAAATGCTGTAAAGATTTCTATTCTTGAACTTAGGAATTCTGAATGTTGTTGACTTATTTGCCCTCCTTGAGAAGTCAGCACGCCTGGGGTACTGACAGAATTGGTTGATCCTCTTGCAACTAACTGTCTAGACTGCATCCTCCATCGTCCTTGTTGTACTTCTCCACTTGATGGTTCCCAGGCATGTCAGCTGTCTTTCACCAGGGCATTCATGTAGAACTTGGTAATAAGCTTGGCCAGTGAGGTCTACCAGCCCACTGGCAAGATTTTGCCAAGCAACTGGATATATTGTTTAAAATTGTTTAATTTGTATTTTAAATTTTCTTCCATAAGTAATAAGAGCCTACCTATAAATAGATTATTCTCATCAAGTTACAGACTAAGCAAAAATAGTAATAGTTTTTCTGTTCATCCAAATGTTAGGTTTAGCCACCTTCCTCTTGAATTTCAAAATAGTTATTCTTATGATAAATCCATATTTTCCCATAAACGAGAGAAATGTCCACTCTTTGTTCCACTGAGAATGGCTAGCATTCTCTACTAAGAGGTAGGAAAGGGCAACAGAAAGAGAATACCTACCCTTAAGATTGTGTCCTTCACTGCTTATTGAGTTTGAATGAGTGGGTAGTTTGTAGAGGAGTAGGTTACTCATTCATCTAGCTCAATGAAGGATGCCTTCTTAATATGGCTTTTCTGCCGAAGAAACAGAGCATTTCACTTGGGGTCAGGGACTGTCATTCACCAGTATGTGAACTTGGGCAAGTCTCTAGCTTCTCTTTGGTTCCTTTATATATAAAATCGGTATGGCACTGTATTTTTGTGAGAATTAAATGAGCTTTTGAGATCATCTCTTAGATGATATAAAGGCAAGAGAAGCAAACATTTACAGTCTACTTTTTCTAAAAATAAAGTTTTGGAAGAAATAATCACTAAAGTTTCTTTATCTAATAAGTGACAGAACTGAAATAAAATTAATGCCCAAACCCCATATTGTGCTACATACCTATTAAGGGGAATGTTTGCTCCCTCCCCCTCTTTCTGTTTCCTAAAGTGAGAAAGAAAGGCAGGGCATGAGAGTGGGTAGCAAGTGCTAACTTTTCTGTTACATGTAAGCTTTTCTTTTTTGACAAACTAATTTCAGTATTATGTAATTAAAATCTTCTTAAACTATTTCTTTTGAAATTCTGGAACACTGATGTAGGGTTCCAAAAACATGTTTTGAAGTTTGAATGACATACACAAGAGTAATATAGACCTACCCATTTTGTGAACTATCAGAAAAGATTAAATGTACTGGCATGACTCATGACCATATGCTATGTATCTTCCTGAAAGATATAAATCAGCTACACTTCAAGAATGGATCAAACTTTATAATACATAATTATTTTCTATTTGGTCCTTTTTATTTTGGTCCTTTATAATCTCTTTCTCAAATGTTTTTAAATGAAGATCTTATTAATGTAATATGTCCATGACAGCCTTCTTAAATGACCTAATCATAAAAAATACTGGATTACTAAAGTGAAAAACCTAAAGGCATAAAAACAGTTCCCAGTAGAGTGATTATAAAAGCTTACATGTTCCAAGTTGGAAAAAAAAAAATCATCCTTGTAACATAATGAACATATTTTACAAGATTGGCTTCAATTTGAACTAGACTAGAGCGTTAAATTTTAACCCTAAGTCATAGGTCTTTGTCATAAGGTCAGTACTATCTGAATAAATGCTTATCTCTTGAGTAAGAAACAGATGCTCTTGGGTTTGTGTCATTGTGCAAATTGATCGATTCATTAATGAGGTTATAGAAAGAGCATATTTTGAGGCTGATGAAGTCATGTGTTTTGATTTCATGACATTGACTCTTCAGTTTAACTAATGGCAGCTTTAATGTTTCAACATTTAAACAATTTTTGTTTCTCCTTTTGCAGTGGCCCCACCCACACGGTTAAGATATAATGTATTATCTCATGACAGTATACAGATTTCATGGAAGGCTCCAAGGGGGAAATTTGGTGGATACAAACTTCTTGTGACTCCAGCTTCAGGTAAAAACAGTTGATTGTGTTTTCTAGAGTATTAGCAACTTTTTACACATAGATAACTAAAAATGTGAAGTATTGAGTGTTGCTTTAAAATCATTTGAAAGTTTTGTTTTTAATTTAATATTTGAACTTGAAATCTTACCCTCTAATCAAGGAAATAATGTTCCTAAAGTCTAAAGAGTCACTATTGGGCTCACCATAACTCTCCTCAGGAGAAATTTCCAGACTATTAAAATCTTCACTACCTCTATTTCAACAGAGTATGAATACTTTTGGTCTGTTGACACTTAAAAAAAAAAAATGCAATACATCTGGAAAGCCAACAGTTGTGACCAGCTGAGTAAATTATGATTAATTAACTTGATAGTATATTATTCAGCAATTATACATTAAAATGATAAAAGCTAAGTAGACATTGTGAAAATAAGTGATAAATTAAAGCAGGAAAAGTAAAAGTTAGATTTATTGATCATGAAGATAAAGTAGTTATGCAAAATTTTTTAAATTAAATTTTTGGTTTAATTTTTTTCTTCTATTTTATGTTTTTATTATACAAATATGATCAGTAAAACAATACAGAGTATGTAGAGGAATTGCCATTGTTACATAGGGTCATGGAGACAAAGATGGGGTTAATAGCATGAACTGCTTGAGCTCCACACCTGGTTCTGTGGTGTATAAGAAGTGTCATTTGGGGGGCGCCTGGGTGGCTCAGTCGGTTAGGCAGCTGCCTTTGGCTCAGGTCATGGGATTGAGCCCCGCATCGGGCTCCCGCCTGGTTCTCCCTCTCCCTCTGCCTGCTCCTCTGCCTACTTGTGCTCTCTCTCTCTCTCTGTCAAATAAATAAATAATCTTTAAAAAAAAGAAGAAATGTCATTTGCACAAGTTATATAACCTCTCCGTTCTCCGGTTTCTTCCTGTGTAAAATGCACAAACAGCACTAGTCCCCACCTCATGGAGTTGTAAGGCTTGGAACTCAAATTGTGATCTGAGATCCAGCACAGGCATCAGCTGAGAGCAAATGCAGAGTATTGGTCCCCATCTCCCACCTGCTGAATCAGCATCTGATCTTTACAAAGATCCCCAGATGACTCCTATGCATGTTAAATTTGGGAAGCACTTGTTGTGAGGACTAAATGAATTTATAAAGGTAAAGCACTTAGAACAGTGACGGTTAGATAGTCAGAGCTCAATCATATTGCCTGTGATGATATAAAGATGATTTGAGTATGTCTCTCGGATCTCATTTCCTTTCCTAGGATCCCGTTTCACATAGTCTGTAAGAAATATTTAATAATAGAATATTTGTATAATACATATATATATATTTATATACTTATAATAATTTTTCCTCTTTATTGGTGATAAAGATGGTTATATGGACCTGGGCTCCTTGCTGTTGGAGTCCTTTTCCCAACTCATTTAATGAGGCTGACAGATGCTCTGTTGTTTATAATTGTGGACATCTTACCCAGTGGTGGATTTAAAATCTCAAACAAAATGAACACCTGAAACACCTGGCTTCTTGCTTGGCCATGAAAAACGAACCTTCTAGAAGGCTATTAGTAAATATTACCCACAGACTCCTTAGACTGATTTATGGTTCAGTGATACTGATGCCAAATTTACCCATGTTGGCTCACAGAAGTGACACACTTGCAGAAAGCAATATTTCATTCTCAAGCCTAGTTCAGAATTTTCATTTTGAAGTATAGCCCAATTTTGAAACAACTTTGACTTCTGAAAATGCAGTTTGTGCTCTGAAATAAGCCATCATGGGAAATTCAAGTTTAAGAGATTCTTGGGGCGAGTTAAGATGGTGGAGTAGTAGGGGGACCCTGAACTTACCTCACCCCTTGAACACAGCTAGATCAAAAAGCAAATCATTTTGAACAACTAGGAAATCGATCTGAGGATTAAGAAAACAATCTGCACAATTAGAGGGAGAGAACATGGCAGATGTGAGGTTTGGAGATGTGGATTGGGGGAGAGAAAAGCTGCGGTGTCACAGAGGGAAGGAAGCCCTTTTTGCAGAGGGAAGACAGAGAAAGAGGGGGAGAGGAAGAGAGAGAGTGGAGGCTGGAGCTGCTTACACCAAACCCAAAAGGTCAACACCAAGAAATATCATAGTGAAACTTGCAAAATACAAAGATAAAGAGAGAATTATGAAAACAGTGAGGGACAAAAGGTCCTTAACCTACAAGGGTAGACATAAGGTTAGCAGCAGACCTGTCCACAGAAACTTGTCAGACAGAAGAGAGTGACATGATATATTCAGAGTGACATGATATGTTCAATGTGCTGAATGGGAAAAAATGCAGTCAAGAATAGTATATCCAGCAAGGCTGTCATTCAGAATAGAAAGAGAAATAAAGAGTTTCCAAGACAAGCAAAAACTAAAGGAGTTCGTGAACACCAAACCAGCTCTGCAAGAAATATTAAAGGGGACGCTTTGAGCAGGAAAGAGAAACCAAAAGCAACAAAGACTAGAAAGGAACAGAGACAGTCTACAGGAATGGCAACTTCACAGGTAATACAATGGCACTAAATTCATATCTGTCAATAATTACTCTGAATGTAAATGGACTAACTGCCCCAATCAAAAGACATAGGGTATGAGAATGGATAAAAAAACCAAACCCATTGATATGCTGCTTATAAGAGACTCATAGACCCCAAGACACCTCCAGATTGAAAGTGAAGGGCTGGAGAACCATTTATCACGCTAATGGACATCAAAAGAAAGCTGAGTAGCCATCCTTATATCAGGCAAACTAGATTTTAAACCAAAGACTGTAATAAGAGATGAAGAATGGCACTGTATCATAATAAAGGGTCTATCCAACAACAAGATCTAACAATTGCAAATATTTATGCTCCCAACTTGGGAGCAGCCAAATATATAAATCAATAATAACAAACTTAAAGAAACTCATTGATAATAATGCAATAATAGTAGGGGACTTTAATACCCCACTCACAGCAATGGACAGATCACCTGAGCAGAAGATCAACAAGGAAACAATGGCTTTGAATGACAGACTGGAGCAGATAGACTTAACAGATATATTCAGAGCATTTCATCTTAAAGCAGCAGAATACACATTCTTTTCAAGTGCACATGGAACATTCTCCAGAATAGATCACATACTGGGTCACAAATTGGGCCTCAACCAGTACAAAAAGATGGAGATCATACCGTGCATATTTTCAGGCCACAATGCTATTAAACTTGAAGTCAACCATAAGAAAAAATTTGAAAAGATCACAAATGGAGGTTAAAGAACATCCTACTACAGAATGAGTGGGTTAACCAGGAAATTAAAGAAGAAATAAAAAAAATACATGGTAGCAAATGAAAATGAAAACATGACAGTCCAAAACCGTTGGGATGCAGCAAAGGCAGTCATTTAAGAGGGCAGTATATAGCCATTCAGGCCTTCCTCAAGAAGCAAGGAAAGTCTCAAATACACAACCTAACCTTATACCTAAAGGAGCTGGAAAAAGAACACCAAATAAAGCCTAAAACCAGCAGCAGAAGAGAAATAATAAAGATTAGAGCAGAAATAAATGATACAGAAATTTTAAAAACCCAGTAGAACAGATCAACACAATGAGGAGCTGGATCTTTGAAAGAATTAACAATACTGATAAACTCCTAGCCAGACTTATCAAAAAGAAAAGAGAAAGGTCCCAAATAAATAAAATCATGAATGAAAGAGGAGAGATCATAATCAATATCATGGAAATACAAACAATTATAAGAGAATATTATGAGCAATTAATATGCCAACAAATTGGGCAATTTGGAAGAAACAGATACATTCCTAGAAACATATAAATGACCAAAACTGAAAAGGAAGATATAGAAAATTTCAACAGACCCATAACCAGCAAAGAAATTGAAACAGTAATCAAAAATCTCCCAACAGGGACGCCTGGTTGGCTCAGGCGGTTAAGCTACTGTCTTCAGCTCGGGTCATGATCTCAGGGTCCTGGGATCAAGCCCCGTATCGGGCTCCCTGCTCAGCGGGAATCCTGCTTCTCCCTCTCCCACTCCCCCTGCTTGTGTTCCCTCTCTTGCTGTCTCTCTCTCTGTCAAAAAAAATAAATAAAATAAAAACCTTAAAATAAAAAAAAATCTCCCAACAAATGAGTCCAGGGCCAGATGGATTCCCAGGGGAATTCTACCATTTAAAAAAGAAGTAATACCTATTCATCTGAAACTGTTCCAAAAAATAGAAATGGAAGGAAAATTTCCAGAATCATTCTATGAAGCCAGCATTACTTTGATTCCAAAACCAGGCAAAGGCCCCACTAAAAAAGAGAATTACAGAACAATATCCCTGATGAACATGTATGCAAAAGTTCTCAACAAGATACTGGCTAATCAAATCCAACAGTACATCAAAAGGATTATTCACCACGATCAAGTGGGATTTATTCCTGGACTGCAAGAGTGGTTCAATATCTGCAAATCAATCAATGTGATACACCACATTAATAAAAGGACAAGAATCATATGATCCTCTCAATAGATGCAGAGAAAGCATTTGATAAAATACAGTATCCTTTCTTGATAAAAACCCTCAAGAAAGTAGGGATAGAAGGAACATATCTCAATATCATAAAGGCCATATATGAAAGACTCACAGCGGATATCAGCCTCAAGGGAGAAAAACTGAGAGCTTTTTCCGTAAAGTCAGGAACACGGCAGGGATGTCCACTCTCATCACTGTTGTTCAGCATAGTACTGGAAGTCCTGGCCTCAGCAATCAGACAACCAAAAGAAATAAAAGGCATCCAAATTGGCAAGGAAGTCAAACTTTCACTCTTCACAGACAACATGATACTCTATGTAGAAAACCCGTAAGTCTCCACCAAAAAATTCCTAGAACTGATACATGAATTCAGCAAAGTCACAGGATATAAAATCAATGTACAGAAATCTGTTGCATTTCTATACACCAATAATGAGGCAGCAGAAAGAGAAATCAAGGAATTGATCCCATTTACAA